GCCGGAGGCCGCTCTGGGCTCCTCTGGGCATCCCCCCCGGGGCCCGTTTTGTGAGGATGTCTCAGGCGAGGGCGCCGGTTTGGGATTCGTCACCGGATCCAGCGGATCAGCGGATCCGTCCGGAAACGGTGCCGGAGGCCGCTCTGGGCTCCTCTGGGCATCCCCCCCGGGGCCCGTTTTGTGAGGATGTCTCAGGCGAGGGCGCCGGTTTGGGATTCGTCACCGGATCCAGCGGATCCAGCGGATCCAGCGGATCCGTCCGGAAACGGTGCTGGAGGCCGCTCTGGGCTCCTCTGGGCATCCCCCCCGGGGCCCGTTTTGTGAGGATGTCTTAGGCGAGGGCGCCGGTTTGGGATTCGTCACCGGATCCTGCGGATCCAGCGGATCCGTCCGGAAACGGTGCCGGAGGCCGCTCTGGGCTCCTCTGGGCACCTCCCCCGGGGCCGGTATTGTGAGGATGTCTCAAGCGAGGGCGCCGGTTTGGGATTCGTCACCGGATCCACCGGATCTGTCCGGAAACGGTGCCGGAGGCCGCTCTGGGCTCCTCTGGGCACCTCCCCCGGGGCCGGTTTTGTGAGGATGTCTCAAGCGAGGGCGCCGGTTGGGATTCGTCACCGCGGATCCAGCGGATCCAGCGGATCCGTCGGAAACGTTTTGTGCAGGAGGCGCTTGGCCTCCTTGGGCATCCCCGGGGGCCGTTTTGTGCGGTTGTCTCAGGCCCCCGAGGGACGCGGTTTTGGGATTCGTCAACGAATCAGCGGATCAGCGGATCAAGCGGATCTGTCCGGAAACCGTGCTGGAGGGCGCTCTGGGGCTCCTTGGGCATCCCCCCCGGGGCCCGTTTTGTGAGGATGTCTCGGCGAGGGCGCTGGCGTGGATTCGTCACGGATCCAGCGGATCCAGGGGATCGTCCGTGAAACGGTGCCGGAGGCGCCGCTTGGGCTTCCTTTTATTAGCTTATTTTATTCTGGGCATCCCCCCCGGGGCCGTTTTGTGAGGATGTCTTTTTTTTTTTTTTTTGTTTTTTTTTTTCTTTTTTTTTTTTTTTTTTTTTGTTTTTTTTTTTGGTTTTTTTTTTTTTTTTTTTGTTTAGGCGAGGGCACCCCCTGCGCCGGTTTGGGATTCGTCGGCGGGATTCCAGCGGATCCAGCGGATCCGTCCGGAAACGGTGCCGGAGGCCGCTCTGGGCTCCTCTGGGCATCCCCCACGGGGCCCGTTTTGTGAGGATGTCTCAGGCGAGGGCGCCGGTTTGGGATTCGTCACCGGATCCAGCGGATCCAGCGGATCCAGCAGATCCGTCCGGAAACGGTGCCGGAGGCCGCTCTGGGCTCCTCTGGGCATCCCCGGGGCCCGTTTTGTGAGGATGTCTCAGGCGAGGGCGCCGGTAGGGTTTCGTCACGGATCCAGCGGATCCAGCGGATCCGTCCGGAAACGGTGCCGGAGGCCGCTCTGGGCTCCTCTGGGCATCCCCCACGGGGCCCGTTTTGTGAGGATGTCTCAGGCGAGGGCGCCGGTTTGGGATTCGTCACCGGATCCAGCGGATCCAGCGGATCCAGCAGATCCGTCCGGAAACGGTGCCGGAGGCCGCTCTGGGCTCCTCTGGGCATTCCCCCCCGGGGCCCGTTTTGTGAGGATGTCTCAGGCGAGGGCGCCGGTTTGGGATTCGTCACCGGATCCAGCGGATCCAGCGGATCCGTCCGGAAACGTGCCGGAGGCCGTTCTGGGCTCCTCTGGGCATCCCCCCCGGGGCCCGTTTTGTGAGGATGTCTCAGGCGAGGGCGCCGGTTTGGGATTCGTCACCGGATCCAGCGGATCCAGCCCCAGAGGATGGTTCGATCTCAAAATAAGATCCGATCTCAAAATGAGATCGCGATCTTATTTTGAGATCGTATTTTTGAAGTGTTACGCTTTTTTGCGTGTTTGCAGATTTTTCCATTGACCGCATTCATTCCTAAAAAAACCTCACTCTCCAATGAACCTCTTATTCGATAACTTCCGTCGCCCCCCCCCCGCTGATGTGTTTGTTGCGGTTGTTGCGTGCTTGCTCCGCGCGCCTCGCGCTCTCGGATCGAACTCGCGTGGACAGGGTCCACGCGCAGAGGGCGCGTGGCGCGCCCCCATGGAGGGCGCATCGAGCGCGGCCGGTGCCCAGAGCCGCCATGCGCGCGTCGTCGAGATCCTCCTTGAGAATATCGACAGTCCCGAGTCGCTCGACTATACGCTCGAGATGGGGGACCGCGATTTTCTTTGAGCTATCTTTGCAAAGTGACGATGTGCGAGACATACGTGAGATGGAAGAGGATAAGAGGAGGAAGAGGAGGAGAGGGATAGGGAAGAGGATGATGATGATCAAAAAGGGAGGAAGAGGAGGAGAGGGATAGGGATAGGGAAGAGGAGAGGGATAGGGAAGAGGAGGAGAGGGAAATATTTCACTAAAATGTATCGTGTGAGGACCCGCTGGACCAAGAGAAGTTGAAGCAGTGGCAGAAGATGATCGACGGCCTCCGAGAAACGTTGCACCCATCGGAAAATGCTATAGACACCGACATGAAAAGAGCTCTCGAAGAGGTGGCCGCAAAACGAGAATCAAAATGGAAACTGTCGCCCCAAAAAAAAAGCTGGGCGGCCCAGCACAGCAAAATGATTAGGTGCGCTTGGGCGCCATTCCCGCCACCCCCATCCGTGAGGGGTAGGGTTTGGATACGGGGTGGGCCCTGGGAAAACACGTTTGCAAGAGCGTCGGTAGGATCGAGAACCTAGGGAGCGATGATGATTATATGGATGTGCAGCTGCAAATCCATATGATCATCATCGCGGAAATGAGAAAGATGACGGAGATGAGATGGGGAACAATCGGGTCATGCCTCATGCACGCGTCGGCGTGTCAGCGGATCAGATCAATGCTACGACGCGTATCGCAAGTATTTATCAAGTCGAGGACCGCACTGCCAGCATGCTTTATTGTGGGAGGGGATTGTCCTACATCTGTCCTGCTCTCTGCGACGGGGTCCCTTCTCTTTCCTCCTCCTTCTCTTCCTCATTGTCTTGTGGTTTACCTCAGCGGTTGTTCACGCTACGCTATGGCGCCCACATGTATCACCCTCCTGCTTCCGCCGCCCCCGCCGCCGCTGAGGAACGCTGCGAGGCCGCCGAAGTGGATCAGGTCATTCTGGAGATGTTCCGGTGCCCAGGACACGTGGGTGGGTCTTTTGTTGCCTGAGTTTTGCTTGAGTTTTGCCTGAGTTTTGCCTGAGTTTTGCTGGAGCGGTTCACGATTATGGTTGGAGTGTATATGCAATGTTGTTGATGTATGTTGGATGTGCTACTCTCGTTCTCGCATGTGCATTCTGACTTGTACAACGCTCATGTCTTGTCGCCACGTTGTTCGCCCATCCTCCCGCGTGGAGGACGACAAGTACAGGTGCGAGTTCAACAAAGAGATGATGGCGGGGGGGGCGGGGCCGCCGTGGAGAGGAGAGACGGAGGAGGAGTACGAGGACAATGATGTGAGGAACGTGTGGTGGATAGGTGGGAAGGTGGATAGGTGTGGATAGATGGATACGATGAGGAGACGGTTAAGGATGTGAAGGTTGGTTGGAGGTGGGGGTCGGTTGGAGGTGGAGGTCAGTTGGAGGTGGAGTTGGGGAGGTGGCGGTGCGATGGTGACAATTGTCGTCGACGTCAGCGCCACCGTCGACGCCGTCGATGTCGTGGTCGTCGCAGGTCGTCGGTGTCGACGTCGCAGTCGTCGTAGACGTACGTCTTCGACATCGTCGTCGATTCGTGGCGGGCGCGTGGCAGACGAGGGGAGGCTGTCGCGAGAATCGACTTGACGAAAAAGAAAGGTTCCCCCGAGTACAGCATGACCATTGATATTCCAGGGGGGGCGGTCGACCACGATGAGGTATACGCTCAATGGGAAGATGGAAGCAGACGAGTTGTTCCTGGGATGACGGTCGGAAAATGGAGAACGCTGCAGGCTGAACAGAAAAGTCGAATGCCAGGGCGGTGGAGTGGCACCGATCAAAATGGGCACAAAATTTTAGTTGAGCAGTTCCACAGAACACAACGTAATGAGAGAATTCGATTCCTGGCTGTATTCTCGGTGAACCCCGTCGACAAAAAGAAATCCATGTTTGTGCAGCTGATGTGCCTTGCTCACTACGGGGAAGCCGCAGATTCATTACTCGAGAGGATTGCGAGAGGCCGTGCAGATGGAAGTATAGATAAAGATAAGGCAGAGCAAATAAAGCAGGAGTTCATGAGAGCGAACTGTGTAGGACAAGCGATGAAGCGACCAGCAGCTGCGATGAAAAGGCCAGCATCATCAGACGAGAAGAGTTCACCGAAGGAGACTAAACAAAAGAAAGTGTTTTCTGAAGACGAACACGATGGAGATGGCAACAAAGAAGATGAGGGCGACCAGGGAGCTGACAAGGAGGAAGAAGAGGAAGAGAAGGGCGAGGGCGAGGAGGAGGAAGAGGAGGAGGCGGAAGAGGAAGAGGAGGAAGAGGAGAAGGAGGAAGACGAGGAAGAAGCACCAGATGATAAAGAAGAAGATATTGAAGAAGCTGGTAAAGAAGAGGAGGAACAAGAGGAAGAGGAAGAGGAAGAGAAAGAGGAAGCAGAGGAGGCTGCCGTTGCGACGGCCGAGGAGCAGGCGAAGAAGCGCCCCGCAGGAGCTGCAAAGAGGCCTGCAGCAACGGCAGCAACGAGGCCCGCAGCGAGGAAGATGAGGCGGTTTGCAGCGAAGAAGGAGGCATCGAGTAAGACTGCGCATGATACATCCGATGACGAGTTCGGGGCTAGCCTGAGCGACTGCTAATCATGGTGCGATGGGGGTGGGGTATGCGTGATATTCACTTTGCTGTGCTGAATTGCTCGGTGTTTGTTCGCGTCTAGTGTTTAGATAATCACGTGGATCCATGCGCACCCGTCTGCTAGTGGGAAAGAGGTTAGTGCGTCCATGCGACCCGTCTGCGACGGATTTGGGCGGGCAGGTGCGCTGCAGCCTCGAGGTCAGCTTCATCGTTGACATATGGTGCGCAGCTTCACTACATGGCGCGCAGCTTCACTACATGGTGCGCAGCGTCATCAACATGGTGCGCAGCATCATTGACATGGTGCGCAGCATCATTGACATGGTGCGCAGCTTCACCTACATGGCGCGCAGCATCATTGACATGGTGCACATAATGCATGACATGGTGCGCAGCTTCACCTACATGGTGCGCAGCATTATCTACGTGGTGAGCAGCGGTAGGTGTGAGCTCTGCGGCGCTCGAGATTGTTCGTTTCTGGCTTGATGTCGGGAATGTGGGACTGGGACAGGGCGGGAGGAGGAGGAGGAGGAGGAGGAGGACGAGGAGGCGGAGGAGGAGGATCAGGAGGACGAGGAGGAGGAGGAGGTGTAAGGAGGTGTGGGCGTGCACAGGTATAGATGGTGGCGTCGAGGAGTGGTGGGATAAAGATGAGGGTGAGGACGGAGATGATACAGACTTCAAGCACACACCATCTGTATAGAGATGCGGTGATCAGCTTGCGCTCAATGCCTTGACCGACGGCGTGTTCGGTTGTCGGGGCGGTGCGCTAAGATAAGTGTCGTGGTCACCGTCGTCACTGGAAGTGGCGAATTCCATAGGTTATCTGCGTCGTGAGCTCCCGCCTGCATCGCGCTCATAGGTTCGACGCAAGCGTCGATTGCGTGATTCAAGCAGGATCTCGCGACGCGGGTAACAGCCCTACGAGTTCCGATCCTCGCGTTCCTCGTGTCCCCGTTTCGTTCGTTTCTGGTGGAGCGTTGACCCGAAGTTTTACTTCCGACACCCCACCCCCCTCCTTGTGCCCCCGACCCCACAGAGCGTCGTGGCGTCACATATCCCGACGCACTTGCAGCCGTCGCATGGTCAAGCCGTCAGCCTCGTCGCCCCTCCGATTCGTGGACATACGTACCTACGTTCGGAGGGTTCAGTTTCACGAAACTGGTGATCACCAGGTTCCCTCGGGTAAAACGGGGGCGCACCAACGACCCGAACAAACACAGCCATCCCCGATAGCACTGGTTAAACCCTACAAAATCCAAAGCAAACCAAACAGAGCAACAACATACGCAACACTGTATGAAACACGCCCCCCACCCACCCCCCCACCTCCCCGAAGGGAGCCATGGCTGCAGCCGCTGAGCCAGTTGATCCACAAGATGCTGACTTCGGAACGCACGTGGCGGTCGACGGCCCAGTAGAGATACCGAGCTCGACCGAAGCCGCCGTCAGCCCACCCACCCGACAGCCAAATGAGCCAGGACCTGGGACCACCCGCGAGGAACTCAGCCCAAACGCACAGGAAGCGTGGGACCGCGCTGTGGAAGATCAGAACCGCGTGGAGGGTCTGATCGAGCAGGAGCAGGCACAGATGAGAGCAGACAGGGAGATGGCCGAGGCGCTGGAGAAAGCAGAGGATCGCCCACAGCATGAGAGCACGTCATGTCAATCAAATATCGTGTTGTTCAGTTGTGGTCGTCCACCCACTATTACCTACATAGCCCTACAGATCAATGTCTAATGCTGCGGTCTTTCGGTATGCGTTTCATTTCTTGAGGAGCTTTTTGGAGGCGGTGAGGAAGAGGATGTGGTGGTCATCGGGGACGATGGTGGCCAGCAGACCCGCGCCATCAAGAAAAAGAAGAGGAGGCCAGGGCGCAAGGGTCAGAGGAAGAGAAAGGATGTTACACCTGAGGAACATAATGAGGAAGCAGGAGATGCAACTGTCACCCAGCCGCCTCAACCGCCCGAGATTGCACCAGCCGCCTCCCCCAGCGCATCCGAGACGCCAAAGATCGGGAACGCCATGCCCAAGAGAAAGGAGAAGAGGAGTAGGACGAAGAAGCGCGGCACTCAGGACCGTGGGGCAGGATGAGCATGGCAATAATGAGGGAGACGGTGTGACGAAACGCGGGGAGGATATGAGCGAATGGAGTTGGGAGGATAGGGTGGGGGCGCAGCGGTAGCAGGGAGAAGTGACGCCCGCCAGGATGTGAACGCAGAGGAAGCGCTCACGGATGTGCAGGTGGCGACCGAGGATATGACCTTGTCTTCGCTCTCCTTCTCCTCCCTCCCCCTCTTCTCCTCCGAGGTATTGGTCTCCTCCTCCACCCCCTTTCCGCCCTTTTTGGGCAAGGACGCGTCCACGACTGCTGGTGGGTCGTCTGCGTTCGTCTCGCCTGCCCCTTCGACGGCGGCGCCCAGCGAGGTCACGATGCAGTCCGAGCACGCGTCCTTGTGGCCCAAGGATTCCGAGTGTTTCAAGAAGTTCATGGCGGCCTACCAGCCCGACGTGGAGAAGCCTGCTGACGACCTGACCTACAGGCAGGCGATCTTTGCTGAGCTCAAGAAGGAGGTCAAGCAGCTGAGCGGCGAGATCCTTGCAGACATCGACGGAGATGCGGCCAGCAAGCAGGCTCAGATGAACGAGGTGCTGTCAAAGTTCTACAACGGCGGGCTGCTCGGCAAGCTCCACGAGCTGCGCGGGTCGGACCCGCGGGCGTCGCATGAGATTGAGAAGACGGACGAGATGGCGGACCAGGCCAAGCGCGACCGCGCGCTGTTCAAGGAGATGGAGGAGAAGAACTACCGCTTCGGGACGCACACGGCGAACAACCCAGCTGGCACCAGGTGGCGCCGCGCTCTTCAGGTGAGCGAGACATTGCGCACGAAGTATGCGAAGCAGCACGGATACGGCAACCAGAGGGAGTTCCGCGCGAAGTGGATGAGGAAGGAGCACGCACAGTGGAAGAAGCGATGGGTCAAGAGCAAGCTCACAAAGTTCGAGCGGGCGCAGATCAAGCACGGCGAGTATTGCAGCCTCTCCAGGATCGCGAAGATCGAGGGAGGCGGAGTGGAAGGCAACAGAATCGCGTTCAACCATGCCACCAACGCGGCCATGATGGGCCGCATCTACGTGAAGTACGACAGTATGGGAGAGTGCCTCAAGTTCTTGCACTTCAGGCACCAGCTGCGGGAGACGTTCTCGCAGTCGTGGCAGGAGCTCGAGCAGTGGACGGAAGGTGTCGATGGTCGTGCTGATGAGGATGAAGTGGGCGAACAGGAGGCTGAGGAGGAAGATGAGGAGGAGGAGGATGAAGCAGAACAAGAAGAGGAGGAAGAAGAGGAGGAGCAGCCCAAGCGCAAGGGAAAGAAGAGGCGCACTACAACAAAGGAGAAGAAAAGAGGCAAGACAATGAAAAGAAAAGAAAGACGCGGGAAGGAATCCACGGACAAAAAGAGAAAGAAAAAGATGCCAAATCCGACGACGAAGGACACGAACCGCAAGAACAACGACCGCAAGAACGAGGATGTCCCAACCCCAAGGACGCAGCCAAAAAAGACGCCAGAGGAGGTCGTGGAGTTCAACAAGATGAAGAAGATATACGATCAGGCGATGCTGCGCGCGTCGAAGATCGACAGGAACGTGTCCACGCTGAAGGAGTGGGCATGGGCGAAGAAGAACCCCGACCTGATGACTACGTTCAAGGACGCGAACGCCAAGGCGATATCCAACCAAAACTCCTCCTCATCCTCCTCCTCATGGTTCTCCTCCTCCTCATCCTCCTCCGCCTTCTCCTCTTCCTCCTCCCCATCCTCTCCCAATCTCCTCCTACCCCTTCCCGTCTCTCCCCCCAACTCCCCATCATCCAATCCCTCCTCGTTTGTCACGCCGACCTTGGGGGGGAAAGGGATGTGGGGTAGGGCAGAATGGTAGCAGCAAAGGTGACCGAGCTGATGAACTCCCATAAGTTCCTCTCGCGGCTCATGAGCGAGTCGAAGCTCAACGAATACAAAAAAGAGGTCGGGGGAGGGGAGCTGCGGGCAGATATCGATCAGCAGGGGCGAGCGTGTACGCATTGTTTGAATATCGTGCGCGTGTGTGTGTGTGTGCGTGTGTGTGTGTGTGCGTGAGGGATAAGGGATAGCGTGCATGTGCATAGGGAGCGTGCTAAGGGAGGTGGGTGACATCCCCTACAAGAAGCAGCTGCAGAAGGCCGTGGCGACCCTCAAAGAACCGAGCCAGAAGCTTCTGGCTGCTTGCACTAGCCTGGAGGGTATGAATAAGCATGTGTATAGGGGCGACGAGTGATCAGCTAGTTTGTTTACATCCAATAGCAATCGGGAGAGCAATTCGAACGCGAGGAGTTTTGCTAGATCCTTCCAGGGATGTCCTGATGACCTTGGCTAGTTTTGCCGTTTGTGGAAGCCCCTGGCGAATTTCAGAAGAAAAAACAAAAACCAGGAAAAAAACACGAAATCGAAGCCGACGGGCCCGCAACAAAACTCCGACAAAACTCCGGCAAAACTCCGGCAAAACTCAGACAAAACTCAGACAAAACTCACCCAAACCATATATATATATATATATATATATATATATATACACAAAAACGGACAACAAAACTCCGGCAAAACTCCGGCAAAACTCCAGCAAAACTCCGACGCCGAAAAATCCTGACCGAGGACCTGTCCGACTTGATTTTTTCACGATCCGAAGGGTGCGATCGGTTTTTCGCGAACGCCACTGGGAGCTCGATTGCATTTGGACGTCTCCGCCCTGGCAGTTTTCGAGCCAGGTTGCCCTGATGCGACGCACGCGATTGTGTCGATATGTCAGGCTGGGTATCGGTTCAGGCAAGAGCTTGAGCATGTACGGGCCTCTTACATTCATTTTGTTGTGGGGCGGCACGCGTGTGAGATCTGCATTGTTTGGGATGGGGTGGAACAGCCGCCCTGAGTATGTGTACTCGATTCCCTCGACTAGCGCAGCGTTGCACCGCTGCGCCCCCCCGCTGCACAGTGAGCGAAACAGAGTATAGAGGATGCTGAGGAGGACAAGGAGGATGAGGAGGAGGGGAGATAGGGGTGGAGGATGGGGGGGGGAGGAGGAGGAGGAGGAGGAAGACAAAGAGGAGGAGAGGAAGGAGGTGGGAGGTTGGGAGGAGGAGAGCGAGTAGAGCGAGGATATGGGGGGAGACGTGCATCAAACCCAAGGTCGCGAATTTTATGTTGCGGGTGGTTTGTGGAACGTCGAGGCCTTTAGAAAGGCAGCGATCAGGTGGTGCGACGAGTTGTATAGACAGTTCGGCACATCGAAACCTGTTTCGGCACTTTGTTTTTATTATGTTCTTTTAATTGTTATTTTGAATGTTTTTTTTATTCATCATTTTTTTTTGCTTTTTTATCTTTTTTTGTTTTTTGTTTTTTTTTTGTTTTTTTG